TCTATCTAACTAGTTGATTCTCATGTAGCAAGGAATGATTTTGAGAGTATATATTCAGTTCAATAGAAATATACCCACTGGTAAGATAAGAAAAAACCAAGAGAAAACATCAATGATGCATCTATGTCAATAGATGAGTATTTCAGCACCAAACAACGTAAGAAACAAAAACACACCATTATTCATCTATATAACACTCTGAGACGACAAAGACAATAATAAATATGCAAGAGTTGAAACAAGTAAAGTGCAATGGACTTTGCCACAAAATATGAGTAATAAACATATGAATGTTGAAGTTTGAAATTCAAATATTATTAAATAATTTGTTCGTGCGCAATGAAAGTATTTTAACCATTACACATAAATCTTGAACAACAATTGTATAATTGAGAATTTAGTATATTTATGCATTTTTCTTTTTAATTTATCACAGAATTTTGTTCACTTGTGTAACTGTGTGGCGGTGGGTGGTTCTGCATCGAGTCACAGTAGTTTCCAAGCACTTGTTTTATACAAGTTCAAGAGCAGGAAGACGATGCGTCTGACGGACTTTCGATTAGAAGTGATTCGATTCACTGTTGAATCTATTGGAAGTGAAAAGAACGATAGAGAAAAGGAAAACCATCTTTGGAAAATCCAATAAGGCTTCCTGCTCGACATTTCCATTCACTCATTCAAAATTATTCAGCTGAAGATATATTTGAAAGAACAAAGAGGCGAAGATACCATGTATGCCGTAATACAACAACAGCTGAAAAAGATACTAAAACAGCATATGAGTATGTTCAATGTAATGTTGGTTTATGTGTTGTACCTTGTTGTGTGAACTTTATCACACTTTGAAAAACGTCCAAACACGTGTATTTTATAAAAAGTTTTAATGAAACAGAAGTGTAGATTGATTTATGATTAACTATACAGAAAAAGACAAACTTTATAACATTGGATAAATGTTTTTTTTTTCTTTTGCTATTTTATAATTCATTGTAGACCTTACAAATACTCACAAAGATCGATTTTCTTAAATGGAACAAAAATAATATCAAATTTCTGTGTAATTTGTGCAATAAATTCTCATCAAATCTCTATTGCATTTCAAAAATTCTAACCAAAATGTCGTACTTTCAATGAGAAAATATATGAATACATTCTATTGATACTTTCATAGATTTAGTACAATTATCATTAGATACTTTTTATTTTGTGTTCCCTTTCCTCCAGTCTTGATTTTTTCCACATATGTTTTTAAAATATATCTCAAAAGGTTTGAGTCATTATTTATCTGTTTTGAAAGCGATCACCATTTGTTTTTTTTTTGAAAAATATCCATGAATTGATGAATATGCAATGGAAAATATTCTAGTGAGAATATTTTGATTAAGTTAGTAAAACAGTATGTTGCCATATTTGACTTACAAAGAATAAAATTTCGATTTAAATTGTTTTCTCATACAAATCATTTATTGAGTCTTTAAAAAAATCAATGAAAATTCATTTAACTATTAAATATTAAGAAATAAAACTTCGGTCATTTCGATAAATGATTAAAACAAAATTGATTTGTTCTCGATCAAAATATAAAAAACTCAAGATTAATGTGATTTATGATAAAGCTGACGCAGATGATAGAAGAAAAGCTTGAGGAGAATAAAAGACAAATATATCGTTAATCGATTTTTTGTCAAAGCATTATTTCATGATGATTTACTTTTAAACTGTCTTTAGAAAAAAATTCAATGTAAATCGAACAGGTGTCGAATATATATATACTACAATACGCTTCATATTACAGTGACAATTTTTTTGTGAAGATAAGAAAAACAAAATGCTTTTACAAAAAGGCAAAATATCGCATCCGATACACTTGTTCTGATCCTTAAATTAATGATCAACAAGAATTTCGAGTGCAATCTTCTAACTTTTGATTATAATCTGACACCGAAAAGTCTAATCCTTATTTTAGATAATGAAAATCTTCTTGTGTTTAATATCATTTCGTCTATATTATTATAAGGGAGAATGTGCACCACAGCCATTTTTTCCACCACAGATTGTCTTCTCTCCTAATGATGGTCGAACAATAATTGCCATTGATGAAGTCAATCAACGAGCTTATCAATCACTTCAATATGGTGCTACAGGAGAAACAACATCATACGTGATGAAACATTTTCCCAACGCGATTCCTGATTCACCCCAATCAAAATATTATGTTCAATTGATAATAGATTCCGTACCTTTTGGTTGTATGTATGGAACATATTGGAAATATGGTGGAAATATAATTAATATGTTTCCTTCTCATTGGTGGGTTAATAGAACTTCATTTAAAGTCGATAATTATCTGAAATTTATATATGAAATGATACATTCAAATGATTCTTCTCTAAATGAAGATTATTGGTATTCAAATGTAACATGTCAAGTTGATAGTGGAAAAAATTATCCATGTGAAGAAATTTATTTTGAAAAAAATACACAAATTCCTCTTAGATCAATTCGAGTTGTTCGTCAAGGGTGGAAAGTTGTTCAACAAACCACTAATTATAAGATAATATCAATGGGAAAACCAGATGAGAAATATTTTGATTCAGTTCCAAGCAATTGGACTTCTATATGCCGAGATGTTATGCTTGGCCTTTTATATTATCCTCAAACAACTAAAATAGATTTAAATCAAAGTGCACAAATTCAAGTGTGGCTAATAACTCCTCCACATCGAATAAATGGAAATGATACTGTTACTATTCAATGGAAACCATCGGAATGTAATGATTGTTTTACATGGACACCAAAACAACTTTCTTTCAATATTAACAATTTTCAAGAAAGACAAACATTAACAATAACTCGTGTTAAAAATGGCCCTCAAACAACACTTATTCCAATATTTAATGGTGGAGGTTTTGATCTTGTTGATCCCATACTTTATCCTATTTATATTCAATAAAATTTTCTTGTGTCATCTTGAATATTTATGAAATAATCAACGTAAAGTTCTTATTGAAAAAATACTTCCTCTATAACAAAGGGTGTGGATGTGGTGTGCGGGGTGGGTGTGTGGTGTGGGTGTGCGTGTGTGGGTGTGGGTGTGGGTGTGTGGGTGTAGAGGTAGATGCTCTCTTCGACTACGCCCACAACCACACACCCACACCCACAAGGTCTTAAAAATTCTAGTCATTTCTGGGTGTGGGTGTGGGTGTGGGTGTGGGTGGGGGTGTGGGTGTGGGTGTGGGTGGGTGTGGGTGTGGATGTGGGTGTGGGTGGGGTGTGGGTGTGGGTGCATGTCGGTGTGGGTATTGGTATAGTTTATTCTGCTTACCCGCACTCACCCACACCCATACCCACACCCACACTCACACCCACACCCACACCCACACTCATGGCGCCGCACATATCCCAGATGAAGCCACAAGCATCCCAGTTGATGCCACAAGCGCCCCAGATGATGAAACAAGCATCCCAGACAATGACACAAGCATCACAGATGATGCCACAGGCATTCCAGGTACAGTATCCATCGAACATAAGATATAACTGAGACTGGTATGTCAGTCAAACGGGGTCATGCTTGAATAAACCATAAAACGTCCACTGGACGTTATTGGTAAAATCGGAATGCTTAGGTGAGCTCGAAATTTGCAGTTTGCATGCGGAGTTCCCTTTTTTTGACACACATACAATAGGATATTCAGTGTTAAGCATGTCTTATATCATCACATTCACTCCCTGAATGCTTGAAGGTGCCGTAGGTGCCGTAGGTGCTCATAGTGGAAGGCGGTATAGATGTGGGTGTGGGTGTGTGGATGCGGGTGTGTGGATATGGGTGTGGGTGGGGTGTGGGTGGGGTGTGGGTGTGGGGTGTGTGGGTGCTGGTGTGGGTGGGATGTGGGTATGGAGTATGGGTGGGGGATCAGTGTGGGTGCGGGTGTACGGGAAGTGCGAAGGGTGATTGTTATATGTATAACGAATGATTGCCAGACCGACACCGATGGGCACACGCACAACCACCCACAACTTGAACCCGCGCCCACTGATACCAACACCCCCTTGCACAATCACAGCCAGGTCTATATGTTCTTCGTATTAAAAGTTATTCAAAAATACTCGCCCTTCCTTTTTTTTTGAAATAGTTAACAGTTAATGAGTGATCAAAGGTAACGATCTGCTTTGAATCCAGTCTCACCCACACAGACGAAGACTATGAATTTCGTTTGATGCTTTTTTTTTGGCGCGGAACAAAAGTAAAATGTACCCGATACACAGGAGAAACATTATTTCTCCAAAGCAATCCAGTAATGCTGACTAAGACTTGATGAGGAGGTAGGGATTAGCTGCTTAAGAGAGGGTGTGGGTGGGTGTGGGTGTGGGTGTGGACGTGTCTTGGAAAGAAAAGAAGCATCCGCATCCGCACCCACACCCCACACTCACCCACACCCACACCCCCAGTCACATCCCATCTTCAAGAATGAAGTGTCACTTACGTTAGAGTAAATAAACGTATAATTATAAAATATGAAATAATAAAAGTAAAATACACTAATACATCATTGATTCTATTTAAAGAAATTAAATTTCTAGAAATAAATCGATCAAAATTAAAAGAAGAAATATTAAATAATTAGTGTGTGGATGTAGCGCATGGAACATTCCCAATCCCATTCACACTATACTCAGCCGTATGGTGTTGCATGTACTTTGATTAAGGAAAAGAAATGTTAAAAAAAGTCTATTTTTTGATATTGAAATAGCTGTTGACATTCGTTAATTTTATATTTAATGAGAATTTTATTTCATCATATATTATTTTTCATTACACACAATGATCGTATTTAAAATAAAAAAGAGAAATTAAAATGAAGACTGACAATATTTGATTTTTCAATCGACTTTCTATAACAAAATAGAAAAAAAACATAATTAAATAAATGAAAAACAAATCTTCTTTGTAAATCTACTTCAATAGTTGGATCAGTAACACTAATAGTACACGAGTATCATCCATTCGCAAATTTACCAGACTTTCCCCGATAAAGTTTAGTAGTAACTGATAAACATATTTTTGTAACTTCTTTTAATTTCTTCTCAAAGTCTTCTTTTTTTGCAAACTAAAAATATTTTAAAAATCGAAGAACACTAATTAAAATTGAAAGACTAAAATGAAAAGTTAACTCACTTGATTACTTTCCATCCATTTTAATGTATCTTCAATAGTATTGATAATCTTCTTTGTATTATTAGCATCAATTTTATCTCCTAATTCTCCATCATTAATTTTTGTTTTCATATCAATACAATATGATTCAAGTAAATTCTTAGCTTCCATACGATCACGTTGTATTTCATCTTCTTTTCTAAATCTTTCAGCATCACGAATCATACGTTCAATTTCATCTCTAGATAATCGTGCATAATCATTTGTAACTGTAATTCTGTTTTCTTTTTTCGAAGATTCATCCCTAGCTGATACATTTAATATACAGTTCCCATTAATGTCAAATGTAACCTCAATCTGTGGCACACCATGAGGAGCTGGTGGAATATCAGAAAGTTCAAAGCTATCAAGTAAATTATTATCATTGGCCATTGAACATTCACCTTCATATATTTTTACTTCGAAATTAGGTTGATTGTCGACACAAGTTGTAAAGGTTTGTATTTGTTTTGTTGGAACGGTTGTATTACGTTTAATTAGAGCTGCCATAACACCACCAGTTGTTTCAATACCCTTTACAAAGAAAAAAAATGATAGAAGAGCCCTTTTACTTCATTCGACTTACTAGTGTGTGCGGTGCAACATCAAGTAAAAGCATATCTTTAGTTGCATCTGATTTATCACCAGTAAGAATAGCTGCTAGAATAGCAGCACCATAAGCAACAGCTTCATCTGCATTAATAGATTTATTTAGCTCTTTATCATTAAAAAAGTCTTGTAGAAGCTTTTGTATTTTTGGAATACGTGTTGAACCACCATCAAGAATAATTTCGTGGATTGATGATTTGTCCATTTTAGCATCACGTAAAGCCTTTTCAACTGGTTCAAATATTGATCGAAATAGATCATCACAAAGTTCTTCAAAACGAGTACGAGTTATTGTTGAGTGAAAATCGATACCATCATGTAATGACTCAATTTCAATTGGTGCTTCAGATAATAATGATAAAGTAAGCTAAAAAAATAAGAAAAAATATTGATTGAAGATAAAATAAAAATGAATTTACTTTAGCAGATTCACAAGCAGTACGTAATCGTCGAAGAGCACGTTTATTTTCTGATAAATCTTTACCATGTTCCTGTTTAAATTTTTGAACAAAATATTCAACCATTCGATTATCAAAATCTTCACCGCCTAAATGTCTATCACCAGCTGTTGATTTAACTTCAAAGATTCCTTCTTCAATTATTAAAATTGATACATTAACAGTACCAGCACCCAAATCAAAAACTAATACATTTTGTGGGGCAGAGACTTTTTTACCAAAACCATAAGCAATAGCAGCAGCTGTTGATGCATCAATAATACGGAGTGCATTAAGACCAGCAATAATAGCAGTATCTTTTATGACCTGACGTTGTGAATAATTAAAACAAGATGGAACAGTAATAACAGCATCTAAAATCTGTTCATTACAATAAGCTTCTGCTATTTGTTTCAATTTTGCCAATACCATTGAACATATTTCTTCAGGTGTAAATAGTATCATTCGATCTTTATATTGAACTACAACTTTCGGTTTACCATTATCATTAAGTATTTTAAATGGCCAATATTTCATATCAGCTTGTACAGTTGAATCGTCATATTTACGACCAATAAGTCGTTTAACACCAAATATTATATTATTTGGATTTCGAGCTGTTTGACTTTTAGCAAGATCACCAATTAAACGTTCATTATCAGTGAATGCAACATATGATGGTGTTATTCGATTTCCTTGTTCATTAGGAATGATTTCGGCTTTTCCATGTTGAAATACCGCAACACATGAATATGTTGTACCCAAATCAATACCTATTGCTCTAGGCATTATATATTGTCCTTATAGAATTTTTTGAGTACAATATTTTTTATATGTATTAAGATTTTTCGATGAATTTTTGGAATTTTTCAGACTAAATAAATTCATAACTAGTTTAGTATAAATGAAAACCGATGTCAAGTGAGAATCAAATAGACTTTTTGTAATTGAAAAAAAGATAATTTTCTTTTCTGTACATTATAATTTACAATATCATTGACTGACATGAGAAACATTTCCATGACCAGAGCGCTTTTCAGGCGAGATTTCTCACATCTTGTATTCCGCAGTGAGCTGTGTCTATAGTAAAAAAATGGTTCGGGCCTCTGGTATGTTTTTGAGGAGATATCGAGCTCCTAGTGAATTTTTTCTATAGTACGCTTATATTGACAGCAGAGCGATACTTTCGAATTTAGACGTCAAACTATACCTGCATAAAGGTCTCAACTACACTAAATTGTGTAAAATATTTCAGAAGTTTTGAGTAAAATCTCTCTAAAATACGAAGCTCTGAAAAAATATGCATACTATATATATTATTTATGGACAAGGGACTATACCTTGATGCTTTCAAATCTTCGAGATACTTTATTCACAACCTTTGAAATTTTTTTTTGCAGCCTAGTCTAGCTAGGGCTTTTATGCAGGCATAGTTTCCCGTCTAAATTCGAAAGTATAGCTCTGCTGTCGATGTAAGCGTACTATAAAGGAAATTCTTTAGGAGCTCGATATCTTCTCAAAAACAAGTCAGAGGCCCTAACTTTTTTTACCGCAGACCCAGTTCAGTGCGGACTACAAGATGCGACAAACCACCGCTGAAAAGCGCTACGGCATCTGGAAATGTTCCCTTGTTAGCTTGCTATACAATATGATACATGAAATATACATCAATCAATGATTGAAAATGACAAAATACACGTCTAGTCGATGAATATGATCCGTATATTGTTGTTTGCAGTAATATATAACACAGGAATATTACGACATATATTTATAGTATAGTGACGGTGAGTGGCGATATTTGAAGTTGATTTCGTAATGGTTGACCTAAGATATAACAGTTCACAAAAAAAGTGAACAAGATTTATTGAAGTTACATGCTCGTCTTTTCCATTGAACATAAAATATAATCATTGAACATTCTGAGTTTTCTTTTTAACATATAAAATACAGCCAACATAATTCATCAAAGAAGATTATGCCAGTTTATAGATAATTACTTTACGTGCATAATAAATTAAAGAAGAAGAAAGTAATATAGATAATATACCTCTATTTATTTGTTGTATTCCCTAGACTGAAAGGCTAGGGTCTAGAAACCGTAATTCACCTGTGTCTGTTTGTCCATCTGTCTGTCGGTCTGTAACAAGCGCTTGGCACAAATGACAAGTTCTTTGGCACAAAAAAGCGTTTTTGTGGCGCAAGTTACGAGTCTATTGACCAAGAAGTGTTTTTACCGTAAACCGTGATATTGTTTTCGCGTGCATCTATGGAAGAAAGGGAATTGATGTAGAAAACCTATGCATTGCATTAAGTTTGAATCCTCAGTGTGAAGTTTATAGAAAACTTATAGAAAACTTATAGAAAACAGTTGAAAATGTGATGAGGAGTGCGTCACTGCGGCTCAAACGTTTTTCAGCAGAGAAGGAAGGTGAGATTACCACACATGAAGCCCATGCTCCCAAAAAGGACATCGCAGTGTTCAAAATATGAGCAATAGAGCATGGTACTTGGTGATACAGTACACCGAAGACAACGTAACATTTGGAAATATATCATTTGACGATGCTACCCTAATCGTTTTTAGGTACAAATAGTATTATGTCAGATAAGGTGCATAGCTAGAACGAACGATAGAAGAGTATTTCCTAGACTGAAAGCATAGGGTCTGGAAATCGAAATTCACCTGTGTCTGTCTGTCGGTCTGTCTGTAACACTTGGTACAAGTGACCATTTTCATGGTACAAAGTAGCACTTTGGTGGTGCAGGCGATCGTTTATTTGACACAATTGGCCATGTCCATATTAGAAATGTTCATTTCTTTGGCATAAATCACCGTTTTAGTCGTTATAATTAATTAAAACATCAACTTTATCATATGCATTAGCATCCTTCAATATTTCATATAAACTTTGAATATATCTATAGTATGTAACACAGAGCACGTTACAAATATTAATAATTTCTCCTAAACTCATCATTATACCGAGTTCGTTTTTATTTAAAAATATACGGATATCTTTGTTATCATTCCGTCAGTCTAGGGCCAAGTGAATCGGCATTCGATGTCGATGAACGTTACTTGTTGTATATTGGCACTAAAAATAAATAGCTAGTTGAATAAAATAGAATTTCATATAGAATAATCCGATTAATAATTACACTTGTTTTTAATTTAATCGAGAACTACAGATTCATTTGAAAAAAAAAGAAATACATTATAGATTTATCTTTAGATCTATGTATATTTTTTAATTATATGTCAAGCTTTTATTCTATTTTATTTTTTCTCTCTTCTAAAATTTAGTCTTAGCAACAGTGCTCGATCAGCAATATGATACTGTTTAAATCAACGAAAAAATGTACAAATGACTTTCTTTCTATAAGAGAAAGATTTCAGTAAAAGACGTAAGAAATCAATCTGAAAAGAATCGATGAAACATATAATAATTATATTTTCATAAGAAGAAAACATGAAGATCTTAAATGTTAACGATCGATGATCTAATCAAATTTAAAGTAAATAGACGAAGTCAATCGGGAATTTGATATTATCGTGTTCTTATAAGATTCAAATCGTTTGAATAAGAATTCGAAATTTTTTTCTCAGTAAATTTAGTTTATTGCAATTCTTACATGATAAATAGATTTTCTATTCATCAAAAACCACAAAAACGGACTTTTCTGGAACTGAATACGAAGTATAAATATGAATGAGAATATCAGTTTGTTTTTTCGATTGAAGACTAACATATATTGTACGAAAAGAGAAAGTGAAAGAATATTAGATGAACATTAAGTTTATGACAACTTGACAACCAATAAATAAATAGTTTTGCCGTAAGTCGACTTTTATCAAGAAAATAATGTTTATCAAAGTGTTTCTGCTAAATGCTTACTATTTTTATTGTTGTTTTAATGATCCTGACGAAATTTCTGTTGGACTTCAGTTTTTTTCTCTGCTACAGTTTCAAATTAGTACGAAAAAAAGTTTAGATTTTTCCTATATCATTTATAAGAGACGAGCGTGATTGGGAGTTGTGCTTCAATTCCACCGTACTTTAATAAAGTAACGTCAGGTATCTCCTACTTTATTGAAAAAGTAACATGAAGTAAAATAAGATAATGTAAAGCCTTTAGTCGATGAGGTTCATTATCACATATTAGTTACATTTCAATACATTAAAAATTATTGTCTCGAACCATGGGCAGAATGCCTCGAAAAAGCTGGACCTAATTTTATAACGTTGAGAATTAATGTTGAACCCTGCTTATGTTTCATAATTTAGTTTTCTATTTTATCACAACTCAATTTCTCAAACCTAGGGTCTCCCTTAGACATTAAAAACAAATCTTTTATTCTTCTATTGCAAGTCTTTGTGGTTCAATAGTAATGGATGCATCGATTCCAGATGTCTTATTCGTTTTCAAAAGTAATCAGAAAATAAGAAAGTAGTGGCGTATCTATGAGGTGGCTAGAAAGGATGCCGCTCTTCCACCGACAGCAAGGAAGGCGTAACAATTCCCTTCAAATTTTTATTGTCTCTCTAGCATGTTATATAGCTTTAAATATTCAGTTGACGAGAAGTGTGGCGTGCCTTTGAACTCGAATAAAACTTTACTTGAAAAAAAATTCCTGTTTGAAATAAAAGGATCCCTATATAGACCATAATCAGTAAGTACTTAGATCTTCTATAAGTTTAGAGTAATGTCCAAGGGGGAAAAAGCGGATCCTGGATCCTCGGATCCTGGTGGATCCTGTGGATCCTGGTGGATCCTGTGGATCCTGGTGGATCCTGGTGGATCCTAGGGGATCCTGACGGAACCTGATGAATTGTAGAATAAATTATTTCAAGCGTACAGAAACGAGGATAGAAAAGTTGATCTTAATGGATATGAGAATTCTTTAAGGTCCAAATAAATCAAGTGAGAAAAGGGAATAGTGACTTCAGAATTTGTAACTAAGTAAAGAGAAAAAAAGATCCAGGATACCGAGATGATTATGTTTTGGTAAATTTTGGCATATCATCATGGATTCTGCGTATTTTTTGGATCCATCAAGATTTACGCTTCCTCGGTCGGTTTGATATTATTGTAATACATGTTGATTTCTATTGCATTCTAGTTATCTCTGATAAATTGTAATGGATTGTGTTGAATTATAGCCAATGGCGGTAATCTATGCCCGCTTTTGGTACACTTCTAGAAATATATTCTAAAATCTCTTAGGACTCTAGAATCCGCTTTTCTCCGTCAAACTAAGGATGTCAGAACTTAGAGCAACCCTCTACTTTAGTCTTAATCCTGTTTTTCCTTGAGAAAGTGTGAAAGAACATTTTGGGCTCCTGAATCTGGAGATTCATGTCATATTTTATTCAGGATTCCGTTTCCAATTTTAATAATACTGGTTTGCAGGATATTTCATTGTGAAAAAAATATTCTTCTCAGGATCTTTTCAAGTTCCCACTCAGATTTCTTTATTATTTTAACATGATGGACCGTACTAGGATTCACTCTTGATCTTACTCAAAACCTTGATAGGGATTACAGAAAGAATATCGCTTAGATTCTATTATAGTTTTAACAGAATTCGTTTGGGATCTCTGCGTCATGGTCCTCTCCTGGCTTACAGTTAAATAAGGTAAAGATCCTACAAGGAATTATAACAGAAGAGCAATGAAAATCCTCAGGTAGTGGATTCTTCTAAGATTCAATCACGATTCTATCTAATTTTCTTAAGCATTCTTCTTACGAATATCTTTTCTGAACATTTCCAGGGTTGTCTTAGG